TCTTCCATCTACACGCATACTTTGCAGGCTTCAGGTCTGGTTTCTTGTGTGGACTGTGTCCCTGTTTTAGATAGAAACATGGGAGGAGGATGTGCAGGTATGCATAATTAACGTGAAATTAAGCTGTTCTTTAGGATTGACCTCCTTTAGTTTGAAGTCAACCTTGTTCTTTTCTAAATGGTAATTTCTTCCTTCTTTAGATGGAAGGAACTGGAACCTTTCCCATGAACTATGGAGAGAAAAGGTGCTGAGTGGATATATTAAGAAAGGGGGAGGGGGAGAAGGCGGAAAAAAACTCCACAAAATAACAACAACCAAACCCACATATCTGAACAAAAAGGGGTCATTGAGACACCACCTCATTGTGTCTCTGGACTACAAAAAGAGGCACGGTTGCATGACGTAGTTGCAGACCCTTTTACTACTGATACCTTGCAGTTAAGTGGGACACATGCCCGCCCCTGCCCCGAGTAACCCTGCAGAAGGAAGGCTGCAGTGCACGCTGAAGCCCTGCACATTTAAGACTCCAGTGTGCGTCGGGAAAAGGATCTTTTAAACTGGCACACAGACCAATGACTGCAGAAATGTCAGTGCTGAGAGGGAGGAGGCACTGTGGAGTGAGGTGAACTGCAGCAGGCAGGGTGTGCTCTGTTAACTTTTGGCTCCTGCTGATGACCAGACTGCTGCAGAAGATGGAAGAGGCGGGAGAAGATCATTTCCTCACTGAATTTCAGGAATCCAGTGTTTATGGAAGAGATGTGGGGAGGGCAGTGGTATGCACAAAGCAACTCAGTAAGTACAGCAGCTCTCTGATCAGCATCTTACCTGAGCTGATGGATGAAGTGTGAAAGCTTTGGAGAAGCCCGAGGGCAGGAGGATGTACTGCTAGTCAGGCAGTATACCAGGCAGATTTGAACAATAGAATTTACTGTTGGGTTAAAAGGAGATGAGGATGTAAGGGAGAAGGAAGTGGAGAGGTTTGAACTATGCCTGAAGAATTCAGGTCAGGGGAAAAAAGTCAAAAATAGCATGTGATGGCAAGAGAGAAGTGGTGGGAAAAATCTGAGGGAAGTAGGTTACATGTAACAGTTTCACAGGGACTTCTGTAAGAACTTATTACCTCATTTTCTGCTTTCCAGTGGTACACCTGTTGGCCTAGTTGTTGACTCAGAAAACTTTGCTGGGAGCATATCTGAAGCAGAACATGCATAAATTACGGTCTAATTAATGTCTGTGAAAAGGAGCACTTAGCACAGGCAACTGGCTCTCTTCAGCACTTCCAGTGACTCACCAAGCCTCAAGGGCTGGCAGAAGGAATACTAACTCCTGTTTTACCCCAGAGTGGGGTAGGGAAGCTCTACTAACACCTGAAGTATGCTTTGGAAGAAGTCAGCTGTCTCATATATCTCACTTCTAGCCAACCATTTGATTCAATATGGATTTACTCTAACTTTTTTTTTTTTCTCTTCCAGTTACTGTTTATTCAACTGCAGAAAAAGGTAATTTTTTTTTTTTAAAGATATGAATAGTTTTGATGCAACCAAGTCTTAAGGGACATAGAATTGAAATGTACTCCTTTATGTTTAAGCTCTGTGTAGTGAGTAAATTAGTGCTAAGAAACGAGGTAAATACTGTGAAGTTGAGGTGTTCAGCTTCTAGCACCACAAGCTTGGGATGATGGCAAGATCTGTGAGTAACGTGACTATGACTTAGGTTTGCAAATATTTTTAAATGAGTACCTTCTAAGAACAGGAAAAGGAGAAGAGAGAAGGAACTGCAGCAGATCCACAGGTGCATTTTCTGTTTATTCCTGAACACACCCTGTGACCTGAAAGGCTTCTGGAAGAGGAAGAATTGCTGTTCTACTTCTTGCTATTTTTCAAATAGCTTACCAATTTCCTCAGAACCTCCATTCTTTAGGACTGGCTAGGGCTGTGCAAAACACAACCCTTTCAAAGGTGGCTGCACATTATAATTTTAAATTTCCAGGTCAAGTGGTTAAGGCCTTGTTTTGACAAACTTTACAAAGTCTTCATATTGGCTCTGGCAAGTCTATACCACAGTGGGTTATGCCTACACAGATACAAACTGACCAAAAGAATTCCAGCATTCTTGCTCTGCCACTTATTTTAACTGTGAACAAAAACTAGTCTAAAGGATGGTTTGATTTCAGAGGTTCAAAATACAGGATTTTTTTCCAAAGCTTTTTTTTTTTTTTAAGAAATACAAATGGTTGATGGGACATTTATTTGTCAGTTAATTTCAGTTTATGAGGGAACAGGAGTGGTAGATTGAGCAATTTGCATTTTGACTGTCTGCAGAGGGCTGTCTTCAGAGTATGAGACCACTGCTAAGATGCTGTCATCTCTTAAAAGTTTTGCAAAGAGCATAGAAAGTGAGGAACCTTGATGGAATTGGTCCTCTTTCATCTTCTAACAAAGAGGTGAGAGTGGGAAAACCTCCAAAATAAACTCTAAGCTGTTCAAGATGGGAGCTGTGTCATACCCTGGATTTGTACATCACATTGCACAGCTAGGTTTCACCTAGACTTTGCAGAATTCTGCAGATTGATGCTGTGCTTTACTGTTGACCTGTATATGGATGTATTACTTGCTGGTTTCTTCCAGAAAGGCAAGATCCATGTCTCAGTTAAGGAAGCCTGACAGAGCAATGATGTTGGTGTTGCACAGTCAGATCTCTGACTTTAATACAAGTGCAGTGCTTGTCTGACTGAAGCAGGTGCTCTTAAACCTTACCAGAGAAGAAAAATGCTTGATTAATTAACGAGACTGATAGCATCGTTGGAACCTGACTGTTAGGCTTTTAATAGCTGTCACCTACATGCTTTTTGCCCCTTCAGCTCTAAAGCATGACACGGGAATCCTGCATGAATTTCTTTTCTGTGGAGGTTGATCTGAAAATGAGATGTCAAGTCTTTTTTCACTTGAAATTAAAGCTATTTTAAGTTCTATAAAGTTCGTACAAACTAACTCGCAGTAGCCAGGAAATAACATCAGAAGAGTCTAAAGAACAAAATACCAATGACACTGCTATGTAAATCAGTAATGTGCATTTTGGCAAATACATTTTGATCCATATTTCAGTCTACTGTGTTCAGGTCCTTTTACTCCAGTACTTAATTACAAATTTGATTAAATTAGTGGCAATTTCTTTACCCCATTAAGGTTATTTTTTCTTTGTAATTTCATATTGTTGTCTAGATTTATATCTGTTAGACAGGGGAATAAAATCAACTCTGAATCTCTTATAACACTATATTTGTTATATATTATTTAACCTGTCTTTAATCTGACTCTTTGAAGTAGTGTTAAGAATGATCCTCAGAAAAGGATGTTAAGGGCAAATCTTCAGAGGTATTTTAGGAAGATGCTAAGAGCATTTCTTAAGATACCGTCCTCCTGAGAGCATAAATTATGGTCTAATACGCATCAGTGCCTTTACAGAGAAGAGATTTGACTTGGTCACAGCGTGACACCAAGAGTCCTGCATTCCCTTAGCTCAACCAGGACTTCTTCATGACTGAGTCTGGCTAAACTGGCAGATACTGGGGCTTGAGGTTTTTGACATATTTTCCATCTAGCTTGTAATTACAAGAAAATAAGCTGAATAGGAATGAATCTGGTTTATATTTGTACTGGAAACTGATGCAAGATGCTTCAGGGAGTAGTCTGCAGAGGATATACGGGTACCCAAAACAGTGGGTAGATGGACTGCCAAAGTAAAGCTGTCAAAAATGCTATTTTCTCTCCCTCTCATTTCTTGGGGAGCCCTGACAGGATGGATGGATGTAATCACAGTAGGAATGGCAGCACAGGAGTCGGAAAAGAACCAAGAATTTATTCAGTGTGAGGCCCGTATGGACTGCCAGGCTCTTTCTCCTCTAGACTGGGTGGTGCCCGTCACTGGGAGAGCTGTGAAAGCCTCACTCTTCCTTGAGTTGCCCCAGTTTGGCTGCTGAGAACAGGCCCTTAGTTTTCAGTGACGGTGACAGATCGCAAGATCTCAGTTATTGCGGGAGTGCAAGACCACTTAAACAGCTGCCTCCTTAGTAAATGCTGGCAGCACTGGCACAGATCTGCACCCTTGCTGCAGCCAGCCTTGGTGCCTGTTTCTGAGGGTTGTTGGGGCATTTGCAACCTGTGACAAGACTTTGAGATTCTGCTGTTTGAAGTATTACTTGTGCACTAAAAATAATCCTTCAAAAGAATTTGAATTCTGGGGGTGATTTTTACGGACAGAATGAAACTGTTTACTGTGTAAGTTCGTTCTGCTGTGCCTGGCCCTCCCCTGTATCCCATTTTCTCTTTCCTTCTGTTCTACTCCTCTCACCCTCTTCTCCCCTGAATCTCTGCTCTGTGCAGCTGATTCCAATCCAATTTTGTATCCATTTCTCCTTTTCCAAACTGTTTTCCCATGCTTTAATTGCTTAACCACATTCTGTTTGAATGTGTATGGTATGTTTTTAATAAAAGATAATTTCTAATTATGCAGTACCTAGGACAGTGAGTGATACACGAGTTCTTTCCTGTCAGGAGGACGGTTTTGGGATGGCTTTAGAAAAAGGTTTTGCTTCTTGCATTTTCAGTCAGCTCCACGGGTGAAAATTTGCCCAATATTTCTGTAAGGTTGCAGGAGTCGGAGGCAAAGGTAAAAAGCATAGTTCTCTGAAGAAAGCTCAAATACAGTTGGTTTGGGTGTTTCACTGCAACAGAAAAATCCTGAGAGATTATAAATTAAGGCCATGTCTTCTGTGACTGTGCACAAGCATTTTCCAAGCTATTGGAAGTTCCCAGAGTTTCGAGCCTGTTCTGCCATCTATGAAGTATGTCAGACGGCTTCTTAAAGGACTCTCTTTGTGTGCACGGGAAAGTAGGTCAAGTTTCCTTCTTCCTGCAACTGAAGATAATATAAGTGAAGATAATGTAAATATTTAGTATGACTTCTTTTCTGAGGCTTGCTCTTCTGGCACAACTGCTCTGTTTCCTCTTGCCGAGTGGTAAAAGAAGCTGTTAGAGGAAACAAGATTGGAAGGAGCTTCCTGGGTCATAAGATCTGGGTCTCTAGTCTTTAAGGCAGCCATATCGCACAGACACATTGATAAATTGATTGAGCTCCCTACTAAAGCCACCTACATTTTGTTGCCACTGTGACTATAATAGCAGGACTCTTCCAGATTATATTCCTGTGACAATATGAAAGACGATGCTCAGACAATTTTTAACTCGCCTCTTGGGGTGCAGTCCTCCTCAGACCCCTGGTTTGGGGTGTTTGCTGTCATTGATGACCAGTGCCTTCTACACTGGCACAATATTGTGCTGTTTCTAGTAGAAATTAAATTGAATTCTGCACATCAGTTATCAAATACTTCACTATAATCTAGGATGGAATTGCATCTTCTTTATCCAAAATGTTAGTCACTTAAATGCCACAGGTGAAGCTGTGTTCAGTTTTGGGGGGTTGGTTGGGTTTTTTTCCTTCAAAGTGTGTTTTGGAATTGTACAAAAAAAGCATATTATTTCCTTGAGGAATAGCAATCATCACCTCTTCTTTTTGGTGGTTTAGTTTTTTTTTTTTTAGTGAGTACTTGTAGGCTGCTAAGTCTGCTCAGGGAAGAAGGTTTCATATAACAATTTTATCAGGTGATTCACAGTGTAGTAGTTTAGCCCTCATCAAAGATGTGGGGTTTTATTTCTTGTGCGTTTCAGCTATATTACCAAAATCTCATTTGTATTTTATTGCAGTTGTCTACCTTGTGATTTTTCATCTGTCATTCGTCATGTTTGTATGGTCCTATTGGAAGACAATTTTCACATCTCCTGCATCGCCCTCTAATGAGGTAAATATAACGTTAGAAAAATGTCAGTGCCTCTTTTATAAATAGCTGAACTGTTTTCAGTGGTGAAACTTGTTTGCAGTACTGCATGATTCACCTTTCCCTTCTCGTTATCTAAAATAGAACAGCATGACAGTGTCTCATGAATGAATATTATCTAATTACTCTTAAAAAACTGTATACTTTGTGTAATGGCATTTCCTTATGCGAAATGTGCATTTAATTCATCACACGTTTGACAGTCACATACAGTGCTTTGCTATGAATTGGCTTGCTTGAAACCTGGATTTTTCTACAACCAATAAGTCAAATACAGTCGCAACATTTTTATATTGCCATTTTAGGCAGTTTTGACCTTTGCATAAAAAAAAGTAGTAATGCAATGTATACTCATAACGTGGAGGACTGAACCACTTAATAGTAAATCCAGGGTTAAGGTTTAGTGACAATTGAGAAGTAAATACCTAAAGGAGCTTTACATAATGGCAAAAGAATGCATGAGGACTCTAAGAAGTTTGTTTGGAAGAAGAACAGTATTAATTGCAGTAAGCCTGAAATGGATTCCCTTGTTCTCCATTTTCTCTAAGGTGTGTGTATGTAAGGATAAAATACTGGCACCAAAATTAAAATAGAAACCCAAGGATTAGAAGGGAAGTAAAGCTTTTAAATCGGCTAAACTGTTTGAGGGTTTGGTTGCTCTTTGAGGGTTGAATTTTTCCTCTATTCTTGGCAAGATTTTCAGTGCTAATGTCAACCTTAAACGTTTTTTTGAAAAGAGTTAAAAACCATGCTTCTGAGGAAAAGCAAACACTGCTCTGCAGGGCTTAATTATGGCTTAGAGATCTGTATCGTAAAAAGCCAGAGAATGTAAGGTGGAAAAAGCTAAAGACTATTCTGTTTAGCTAAGCAAGAAGAGAAGTACTGAATGGTTTAACCTAAAAATTCTAAGGGACTTGTCTTCAGGGTGGTTTGTTTCAGCTTTATCTGGGATAGTTCTGCAGGAAAATGATGAAGTTAAGCAGGGGAGCTAATTGAAATGTGGTCAGAACCTTGTTATTCCAGGTTTTGTAAAGCTGTGTGAACTAGAGCTTTCCGTACAGCGAATGCCTCGTAACTTCTACCGTCTGTTGGATTCTCAATAATGGAAAACTTCTGACAGAACTTACCCTGTAGTTACGCTAACGTTGTAGCAAACTTTTCATACTCAGTGAGTGAAAGGGATGGTTTGGGTGTACAGCACATAATGAATATTACCTATATCAAGTGTGAGGGTAGATCAGATTTCATACAGTTCTTTTCTGCAGCTAGCTTTAAAATGAAAAAAGAGAAAGAAAATCCCAAACCAAACCACACACACACCCCCACAAAAAAAAAAAAAACACCACACACCCCACAAAACCCAAACAAACAAAAAACCCACCACCACTATTTCCTCTCTCTGGGCAAGTCCCTATTGTTCATGTACCAGTGAGTAATTTATGCTGGTTTTACTTAAAAACAAAGCCTGACTTCAGAATCTCCCCATTGTGTGTGAGTGTAAATGTATATGGTTTTAGTCATTCAAATTAGCCATTCTTGCAAAACAAATAGCATCCTGTGATCTTACTATTGAACTAAAAAAAGATTCTGCAGCTGCTGTTGTCTTAGTGTAATCCCTGTACGTTTGTCATAAGAAAGAACAATCAACATTATACAAGATCCAGAAAGAGGAAGGAAACAAAGGGACTCTTTCTGTTTTCAATAGGAACTGCTGGAACCTCATTGGAAATTCTGTTAGCTGTGTGGTAACAGACAACTTCTGATGTCTTTGAACATATCCTGCCTTTGTCCACAGGGACTGTGGTCTCATGGCCCTTACTAATTTCTGACATTAGAACAGCCCTTTGGAAAACCAAAATCCTATCCAGGATTTTTGAAGTAATATTACAGTGTTACTTGGGCAAATTAAAAATCTTGTGAAATAATATCCTTTTCTGTGCATTAATGGTTTTGCCACAGAAATGTCATCCAGCAGTAGTATTTCACATTTAATGCCACCCCCACTTTACTGCGGGCCGTGGAGACGGGTATTCGGTCACCTAGCAGAGTTGCAAGGGCAGTAGGGAGGGAGGCATATTGCATTGCTGTTTGCTGGCATGATGCTTCATATCCGCCTTCAGCTTTTGATGCGAGCATCTCCAGTCTTCATGGTTGAGTAAATACCTAGCTTAGAGACGGATATTAAAACGTGAGGTCAAACTCTTGGTGAGGACTGACACCTTAAGCTTTCATTTCACTGTTCGCATAGATTGATCCTGGCTTCTGATTGTTTAAAAGGGGATTATGTTTACCCACCTTGAATGGTGGGCAAGCTCAATAACTGGGATGATACTGTATGTAACCGGAGACTTAGCTAGATTCTGTGAGATATCAGGCAACTTATTTGCATTCTGGGTTAGGAAATATCACAGCGAAATTGCAGCAATGTTTCACGGCTTCCTCCTTTCTGTAAGCGGAGTCTTCGTTGTTGCTTGCCAACTGACTGTAATCCAAAAGAGGAAAAAATACAGGATGAGAGGAAAATCCATGTGAACTAATTATATACATCTTCTTGATAGGAAAATATGGTCATATTAAGCCACACTAAGCCAATTTTTGTTCCAGTTGCACACACAACATTTTCCACTCACTACCATGAATACTTTGTCTATGTGTGCTCCTAAAAAGGGCTCTTGTAGTCCATGCGGGAAGCTCAGACTTTCAAAGTTCTTCAGAAAAGAAAAATACCAAAGGAAATAGCGAGTTCAGCCCCAGCTCCACAGGGGTTTTTCAGCACACTGGGGTTTGCGGGGCTTAATGGTAAAGCTTGTAATTTCAGTGAATACCAAACTAAATGTTTCACAAGTGAGTAAAAGCTCTCCAGGTTCTTCTGGTAAAGCTTTCCATTTCAGTGGGGTTTCAACAGGAATGCTCCTCATGCTTTACTCAGAATTGTAACTCTGTCTCAAACTGAACTTGGCTGAAGTTGCTTTCAATATGGCTCAGGGATTTTGAGACTAGGGCTGACTACTCCCAAGTGAAAATTCCAGTTAAAATCTTTCAACTTCTGTGCTGAAGCCATAAACCCCCTCCCCTCTAAGTCAGAGGGGAAGTGGGATAAGAGAGCTTTAGTGCCCTGTAACAGCACAGGACTGTTGTACTTACCTCTTGTTCATGGATCACTTAAATTTACGCTTATCAGGAAGGTTGTACCTTCTTAAAACTTGCCTGAGTCTCTGCCTGCCTTTTTATTGAAGGGAAGATGCTGTGGATAATGCAACAGAGATAAAAATTATTTTCTTTGAAATATGCCCAGGAGCATCATGGAATTTTAAGGATCTCCTGTAATTCATAGAATCATAAAATGGTTTGGGTTGGAAGGGACCTTAAAGATCATCTAGTTCCAACCCCCCTGCCATGGGCAGGGACGCCTTCCACTAGACCAGGTTGCTCAAAGCCACATCCAGCCTGGCCTTGAACACTTCCAGGGATGGGGCATCCACTGAATTATTACAGAATTTCTGCAGCATTCTTTTTTCTTTTTGTGGGGTTTTTTTGGATTGGTGGGTGGGGGTTATCCAAAGACATAGGATGTCTTCCCTTCATTCCATTTTCTCCCTTCCTCCTAGTTCCGCTTGTCAAAAGCTGATAAAGAACAATATGAAAAAGAAGAGAGGCCAGAATCCCAGCAGGAGATTTTGAGAAGAGCTGCTAAAGACTTGCCTATCTATACAACAACAGCATCAAGAGGTGAGAGATAACGATAATTCTGTGCTCCTGAACCTGCTAGTTTAATTCAGTGGAATTCATTTGATGTCTCTGAATGAACAATCTATTAAGCACATATTGCAAAGGCCATGACCTTGTTCTGTTATTTGTTTGGGCTGTTTTGTTTTTTAGGTTTTTTTTTCCCCCAAGAGAAACTGGAGTCCTTTGTCTGGGGATCTCAGTATGTAGCTTGTATTTGGAATTTTTTAAAAAATCCTTTTCCAGTAAGCAGGCAGATGACAACATTTATCTATAATTGTGGCTGTAAAGAATAAACACAGCAAAGAGATATAGCTAAGACAGCTAGAAATAGATAAAATTAAACTTTGTATTCAATTTTATCATCACTTATATCCCCTT